ATAACAAAATAAAAGCAAAATATTACCTAAAAAAATAAAAACATTATTATAGTGTTATTAAGCATAATACATGGTCATCCATTAACTATGTAGATTTATAATATATACATAAATATTTAAAGATTACAATGAATAATATGGAAATAAAATGATTGATTAGTAAAATATATTACAAAAAAAATAAAGCATAATCTAAAAAAAAATTAATTTTCTTATACAAATTATTATATTCACATATAAATCATCACATGAACAAAAAAAAAATATAATCCATGAAGCAAGATGATGCATGTACAAAAATTTAGTAAATCTACTCATACATCTATAAAACTTATAATAAATTAACTGTTCATGGAACATTAAAGTATTATATCACTGTAAAAATATAATAGAATTAAATATTTTTTAAAAATATAATATATAATATTGATAAACACACAAATATATCATTAATATTATAACATGTAGATAAATATACAAATATGCACTTAATAATCTGCATATAATAAAATCATAGAACATAATACCAGATATCTAAATTTAAACCTAAAACATAGAAGCATAAAACTAAACGCAAAAACGTGAATCCTGAACCCTAACCCCTTAACTCTAAACCCTAACCCCAAAATCCTGAACCCTCAAAATAAAATAATTCCTGTCCATTTGTTATATGAATAATTCTTTAAAGCAATTCATATAATGATACGGTTATATTTAACAAAAATATTCCTTTTTATATCCTATTCAGAACTAATATATATTGCTGTATCTTACATTAAGTCTTCTCGATGAATCTAAATTTTCAAGGATCGAATAACCTTCTATTTTATTTCTATCCATTATAATATTACTTTTCCTTTTTGATTTACTTAGTAAGGCTTTTTTTAACCAATACCCAACAGGAGTAAACTAATGAAAATATAGTATATGTAGTACATATTTTATGTATAATACTTGCAAATTTATTTAAGAATTAATAAAATTTGTTAAATATAATGTAATGCATATTTCTTCTTTATTCATATTAATAATTACTTTGTACACTATAATAGAAAAAACAGTAATTCCAATAAATAGAGGAGCAATGAAAATACTTTGTGAGGATGAAATGGCTAAGGGATTACTTGAAATACCAGAAGTGACACTTAATATTAGATCTCTATTGGTTAAAGAAGACATTTCTGCTTGTGTATACATATTTGACTGCCCTTCAATTGATGTCTTACGTTTGATTTGGTCTGATTGTTGATATGGCGTTATTCTTAAAGTTCCTAATTGTACAACTCTCTCTCCCTCTACCTCATGTACCGTAGTATTTTCCTGTAACTGGGCTTCTATACTTTGTTGCTCTTCTTTTTCATATGATTCTGTCATTCTACGACTTTCTCTTTGTTGCTCCACAGAATCAATACGAACTCTTACTGATGTGCACCTCAAATTAGTTGAGTTTTCAATATTCATATTTTTAAAAAATTGATTAAAAATATCACAAGCCACGTCACGTGTCTTTCTGCCATAACACATGTTTTTGAATGATTGATATTTTTTGACACGTTCATCAAAATATATATTAAAAGATTCATCACAAGACCTACTATTTTTATGAATATAACTTTTAAGAAAATCATAATCTTTTGAAAAATCAAATAATATCTTCATTTCATCAAAATTATCTTCAGTGATATAATAATTTTTATTATTACATATGGTCATGCTCCCTTTACTTTGTAGTAAAAACATAAGTATAGATATATCAGAGTAAATTGATTCTTTATTTTTTGAATTCTTATATAATAAATCACCTAACCAAAAGTACAAATAATTACAATCATCTCTATCCAATTCGTTATTCTCATTTTTTTTATATACATAACATAAGGATTTAACTAATTTGCCAGAAATATCATTATTCATAGTATTCTTATCTATGAGATCTTTTGCCCTATTGTAAAAATCTATATCTTCACAATTATCATCTGTTTTATCGAAAATATTGTATTTCGATTGTGAAGGTAGTATTTTAAGTATTTGATCCTATGAATTTAAAAAAAATAATAATATATATATTTATTGTTAATATACAAAATTATATAATTAATTTAAGAAGAAAAATGGTATATTATGATAAAAAATAATTTATATTACATAGGAAACATACCCTTAGATATACGCTCATTATTAAAGAACGTCAAAAAGTGATAAACAAACAAAATAAGACAATTATGTATTTAACTATGTATTTACTAATATATTAAAAAAATCCTAATAAAAATTATAATAATATATATTTTTCTATTTAGAATTACATATATTTGAACACGGTTTTGTTTTGTTTTTATAATATTTATGATATATAATTGTTTTAACATTATGTTCTATGAAATATGGTTGTATATTCGTTTATAGTATATATTATATAAATATTTATATTTTAAGAATTCCATGATATTCACAATGTGAGTGTAAAATTAATTACTTGTAATTCTTAATAATATATATTATACTGTACATTACAGTTATAATATATATTCTGTATGAATAATATTTATAAATTGTCATAGACACTAATGATTAAATTATATATTATACTATACTTCACGTTACACAAAATATGATAATTTTGAACTTCATTTATATAACTTACACTAATATGTATATATTTTTCTACATCATTAAAGGAGGTATTGCTATTTTTGTTTACGCTATTAATTTAGTAATCCTCCTTAAAAATATTTTTTTTGAATTCATTAAGTTTTCCTCAATTTTCATATTGAAAATAAGTAATACTTATATATTATTGATATTTATTATAACATTATAATTCCCTGCATTATATAAATAATAAATATTTTTGATTTAAATATTACAGTCATATTTGGACTATTCAAGGAAAATATACGAATTTCCTTTAATATATATTATTTTCTTTAGATATTATATGAACTCATAAAACTTTTTATGTATTGGTATTTTTCTTATTAGGATATTTATATTTTTATAATTAAACTTTTACAAATATTTTCCTTTTTAAAAATAAAAGGAGCTTCCTTGTAATAATTATAATTGTTATATTTTACAATACACTTACATTTTTGAAAATATAAGTGTATTCAAAAAAAATATTATTTTTAAAGGTTATTTATAATTATAATATAATTAAAAATATATAAACGAATTTTAACTCATACGAACGGTTTCTATTTGAAATGTTGTATATTTTTGAGTATGTTTTTAAGAAAAAGTTACCATATATATAATATAGTGAAGTTATTTATGCAAAGGAAAAATATTAAAGTAATTAGTTATAACAGCCTTTTAGTTATTCCATTAAAGTATTGTCTTTTAAACTATGTATGAATTTTGTAAATTTTTTAAATCTTATGGATATTCTAAAATAAAGGATTTATTATAAATTAATTATTCTATTGTTAATGAATATTTTTTTTCGTCTAATAATGTCGGATAAATGTACATATTAATTCATCATAATATATTAAGAAGATTCAGTAACAAATAATTTAAAACATTATATATGTATTTTATGATATATATTGCAATGGAATCAAAATAAAAATAAGAAATGGAAAAAATATGTCTATACATGAACATATTTTACTATTTTTTTTTTTCAAGTGCAAATCTAACAACTTAGAAAAAAGATAAACTAGGAATTATATATTAGAATTTAATGTAAAAATTCTTTAAAAAATGGAAATGTTAGTAAAAAATAACAAAAGATAATATATAAAAATAAGAAATATAATTTTTTGAATGTTCATATATTTAATATATTTTATGCTTTTTTTATAAAATCAATAAAAAAATGGTAATTCCGTTTTATCTTTCTGAATACATTGTTATATTTCTTACATTTTCTTTAAATTGCAAAAAAATATCTTTATAATTCTTCATGTCTTATGAAAGCTTGTCTTTTTCATTATAAATATTTAATAGTTTTGAATTCCTAACAGAAAACATCTATAACATATATATCCCAATAATTTAAATTATTTATGTATATTTTTTTCATTTATTACTTTACCACACAGAAATTGAAGTTCAATAGTTACATAAATAAATATTAAATAATGACAGTTACAAGTTTTTATTTGATTTAATTATTAAGTAAATAATAAACAAAATTTGTGCATAAATATATGTATCCCGTCTTCTGTTATTAGATCCTATGATCTTAAAACTTGGAAGTTTGTTATTTCTGTAAATTTCCATGCAATATTCTGATTTAAGATACCTGATAATACGTATTATATTAAATAATTATTAATGTATTATATTTTACATGTATATATATGAAAATTAAATTAAATCGTACATACAATAATCTATCCATATATATATTATAATTTGATTTAAATGTTCTTATTGCTGATATTTATAATAGTCTAAAAAACAGTTAAAAAATTAAATATAATCGATAACGCATTGAATTAGTTATATTAAGTAATTTAGATATATAGAAAAAATTATAATTTCTTGTTATACTTTACAATAATAAGTTATATGTATGATGATATATATCTATATATTAGCATGACAATTTTTTATATATACGAGAATATTTGTTAAATTTAACTATTCAAGACATTTTAATGACTGACATTTGTTCAACAATATATATTATCTTTAAATATATAGAGAATAATATTATGGAAATACACAGCTCACATAATTAAAGTTATATTTACTCCCATTATACAATATACTATATTATGTGTAAACGCTCGAATATAAATTGTTATTGCATGGATATGTTCCTATTATTGGATTTATGATGAAAAACAATATTGAATAAAAAATATGTAAACAAAAAGTTAAAAAAGGTTTTAAATCGTAGCATAAGATCTAAGAAAATATATAAAAGAAGAATAACTAATGAATATAATATTTTTGGGCTTATAGATTTTTATATTGAAAAAAAATACTTTATAGAATGTGTTTAATATATACTTTTGTTAAAAGCATACATATTAAACTAACATAAATGTTATTTCTCTATTAAGATATCTGATAATTATATTTTCTGTATCCCATATAATGTATATTTTAGTGAACATTTTTATGTCTCTATGATGTGTTATACATAAAAATACAACAAATTTTCTTATTGGAACAAGGGCCTTTTCTGTGTTACCCATATTCTTAGTTATATATATTCTACAAAATTTTTAAGGTGCCATAATTTACATAATATAGAAAAAGAAATTAATTTTGATTGTTATATTTGTTTTGTATAAATGTATATAAATAATAATTATTCTGTTATAATCATTTGTGTAACATCATATGTATAATAATAGTTTAGGACATTCTTAATTTCTACAAATATATATAATACTAAAAATATGAACACAGTTCCTTCATAAACACATCACATAAGTGTATAACTGAAAAAGATAAATATTATCATTAATTTGTTTGTATATCTTCCAGTTCTTTTTTGAAATTTCAGTACATATTTTTTAATAATACAATATTATATAAAAAATTATGTAATTCATCATACACACGTATGCATGGAAATACGCCCATCAAGAGATTCAACTATGTATATTTAATTATTTAAAACTCGTATATAATTATTCTGCATACTATTTACATGCTAACTTAATATAAAATTAATATAATATCATTAAAGTATATTTTTTTTGTTTATACATATAATAATCTTGATGTACTTCAAATTATTTTTTTTGAAATCTGTGTTATACTATATGAATCTAATAAAATATAGAAGTTTATTTTGTTTGGATTCTAATATACAGATGCATAATTAGTCACCTTATAAAAAAAGTTAAATTTTTACTTGTTTATATCTTCTATTTAACTTAGGAATAAATGTAATAAAAATATCGTTATCAATATTATTAACTAAAAATCATATTAATACATATATCACATATTAGTATATATTTAAATATATATTATAATGATATATCGTATATTAATGTAGAATTTCATCTCAACTATTACAATAAATTCACATTTGTGTATACAAATATTTATTAATGATGTAATGATTATAAACATAGATCTTATAAATATGATTCATATATTTATGAATGCAAAAATAACATATATATAGACTTCATAAATTAAGAAAATAATTTAAATATACATTCTGAAAAAAAATTAAATAAACCAAATCTACACTATAGGACATTTATTTATGAATGAAATATTTACCAAATATAAAACATTCTTTTAATATAATAAATGATGACGATGTTTATATCATATATATCTTATATTTGCAGTAATTCATTAGTGTAGAATCTAAGGAATACCTCATAATTTATATCTATATTATATATTAATTCATAACTATATATAAAACCAGGTTTTTATACTTTAATGGGAAAAAATACTGTCTCATATTAATTTATGAAGTTAGTTAATTAATTACATAGGAATTAAATAATAAAATAATTAATAAAGCGTGATCCATTTTTAAAAAGATTACAAGGAGATTTATTAAACATATTTTAACTTTTTCTTTATTCGTACATATTATATAAGAGAATATAAAAAATATAATCATCTTACATATTAAAATATATATTATAATTTCATTATTTGATCATATCCAAAAGGAGTGCATTTATAATATTAATAATGTAGAACTATGCAAAATATCATTAAGGAAAAAAAATATATAAGATTTATATAATTTTATGATTATATGAATTTGTATTATAATTATAATTAAAATCAGTATATAGTTATTACCTTTTATATTATTTCGTTACAGCATATTTTGGATAACTGTTTGTGTAAATAAAATGGTGCTAGTGTGTGATCTATCTGAGAATATTATGTTTTCATATTTCGTTATTTAACTTTAATTATTAAGATAAATATACAAAAATAGTATATTAGCTTATACCATATATTCAATCTATAAAATAATAATGATTTATATTTTTCATTAAAAATGTCCTCTAACAAATTAATAGTAAAATTATGTAATATAAAATAAATATAATAACACATAATATATTATGTATGCTTTGATATTGTAGATTATCAATATATATAATATGTATTGTAAAATAAGAAATATCTTTCTTATAGATTTTACACTAAATTATTAGTGGTATACAAATTATTCATGTAATTGTTATATAATGTTTTTTTAAATAGTATAATAAAAAAATGCTTAATTATAATGCATTAAATGCATATGATATTCCACAATTAACGAATAAATAAAACAATGACTTAAAATACATCATAAAAAATAAATTTAATATATATAATTCTTTTTTTTATAAAATATTTAGCTCTTATATCGTTATAATAGATACATTGTAATTATATTAAAACTTTCACTCAATATAAAAAATATGAA